CTGTAGACATAGCTTCCTCATTCTTTTAGATTTCAAGCCTGGCACTCTACCCCTTGAACTACTATTTTTTTTGGTTGGTTGTGAGGTTTGAACTCTGGTCCTGGATGTTGTCCTGAGGTCTTCAGCTGAAGGCGAGCGCTCTACCACTTGAGCCCCAGCGCCACTTCCAGCTACCTCGTTCTTTAAAATTTTTTTTAAAATAAATATATGATTTTTCCTTGACTAGACACTTTTTTTGGTTGTTGTTGTCTCAGCTGATGCTTTACTACTTGAGCCATACCTCTAGCCAAGCATTATGCTGGATATTTTGGAGATGGAATTTCAAAGACTGTTCTGCAATCTTTCAGATACCTGTTTACTGAGTAGCTAGGGTTATTCATATGAGCCACTGGCACCAGGCCAAATAGATGTTCTTTGTTCAATCAACCTTTTAATAATGACATTTAGATTTATTTAGGACCAATCTCCAATATAGACAAATTTTTATATCTTAGCATGTAGCTCATAAAATTTTATCAAATCACTGTGTCCAGGGAAATGTAGTTATGACATGTAAAGATCAGAATTTTCAAAGAAAAAATCACCAAGAGGGTGATCGTAGGATACAGAATAGAGGTATACTGTGTTGTTCCATGAGTAGAACTTGAGCCAGTTGATAGAATTTTAGGGAGATTTTTCTCCCAGTATGGAGATTATGAAGAATATAATTTAAAAACAAAAACCTGCCAGCTACTGGTTGCTCACCAGCTAGCTACTCAGGAGGCTGAGATCTGAGTGTTGAGGTTTGAAGCCAGCACTATACGTTAAGTTTGTGACACTGTTATCTTCAATTAACCCCCCTAAAAGCTGGACTTAGAGATGTGACTCCAGTGGTAGAGTGCCAGCCTTGACCAAGAGTGCTAAGGACCCTGAGTTCAAGCCCAGAATGGGCACAAAAAATTGTTTTTTAAAAATTCTAGAGCTTGAAGTATAATTCAGTTTTAGATTGCTTGCCTAGAAAATGAAAGGCCCTACTTAACTGGAAAAGAGGGGCTAGAGAGTTAGGGGAAGAAGACAGACAAGAGGGAAGGAAAACAAAACAAAAATTTCTTGTTTTTCATGGGAGATTGCCAATCCAGGCCCTTTTTAAATTTGAATTTTTGTGATGAATGTCAAATGAATATTATCTTTCTTTTTAAATAGGACACTGATGAAATTCAAGTTAATTATCCTGGAATGTATGAATTAATGGAGGACTTACAAGGTAAGGCATTTTAAAGGATTTTTAAATTCCATTTAAGGGACATTTGAGTCCACTCTGGTGAGCACCAGGGTAAGCACTGGGGATCCATTCATGAGAAAGGAGACTGTCTTCACAAAGCTTATGATATACAGTAGAGAAGGCAGAACATTAGGCAGCTATCATGAACTATTAACTTAGAATTGTGGTCATGCCATGAAGTATAGGCACATATTTATAAAAGTTTCTCAAAGGTTGGCAGGACTTTCCTAAAGGATACAGTTGAATATGGCAGAACACTTTGGTAACTTCATCTAGCAATAACTTCATCTAGCAATGCTTGACATCTCACTTTGAGTCATAAATAGTTGGGTAAGTTTAGATAATAGGATAGATTCTGATCTAAGAAACCTTTCCAAAGAAATCTTGTTTGAAGAAGTTGGGACTAAGCTGTGTTCTAAAGAAACAAAGATAAGTTACCTGTGCAGAAAAGGCAGGGAAGTGAGCCCTATGCAAAAGCAGCCTATGCAAAGACCCTTAATAAGAAAGAACAAGGCAAGATTGGAAAGAAGAGCATTTTAGCAAGGTGTTTAGCAGAAACACTAGGGAAGTGTCGAATTACCTGAACCAAGAGATCTAGTTTCAGAGCCAGAGGAGGACTTGAAATGCAAAAGTAGCATAAGCCAGATGCTAAAACCTCTATAGAGCAGGGAGTGATTAGCCTTCAGAACAAACAGAAGTAACCTACCTAAGATTATGGAATTGATATAGCCAAAATGTTAATCTGGGCAAGCAACCTAATTCATGTCCTGAAATCTCTAATAGAGAAAGTCAGAGTTTGGGAGACTTTCAGGTGGGTTGCTTTGCTGACTGGAAAATGATATCACTTCTGATTGATTTTTGGTATTTTACATTTGAGTAATACCTTTTCTCTCCATGTTTGTAGTATGTCTCATTTAAGTTGCCATTATTATTAATTCGCAGAATAAAAAAGTCCAGAATGTTGACCTAATTTTACAAAACAAGTTACATATCATCTGATGAATGCATGAGAAATTTTCAAGGCTTTCACAGTAGTTTTAAGGTAAGTTCAGTTACATTTTTTTAAGGCAATACTCAGTATTGTTCCACTAGTAAACCCTAATAAGCTCTTGATTTTGTTTTTAATAAGCCATTGAACTTTACCTTAAAACCACTGTGACAGTCTTGTTACCTGCTGGCTGGATTTTTCTGTTATCCCAAGCCCAGGTTGAACCAGAAATCACAAATTTTTTTTTCCCCCTGCTCCTGAGCCTTGACCTCTGAGCCTGGACACTGTCCCTAAGCTGCTTTTGCTCAAGGCTAGCATTCTATTTCTTGAGCTATGGCACCACTTCTGACTTTTTCTGTGATTAACAGTCTCATGGACTTTAGAGCTGGCTTTGAACAAAAGTCCTCAGATCTCACCCTTCTGAATAGCTAGGATTACAGGCTTTACAATTTTTTTTTTTTGTAAGTCAGTCTCAATGAGGTTTCACTATGATATACTATGAAGTTTGATTCCATTTTAAAGATGGAAAAACAGGTAACAGGTTAATGGGGATTAAATCACTTTGTCCCAGGCTACATAAGATTGTAATCCCAAAGTCTAGATTCTTTTCACTAGAAGCGTAGACTCTATAGCCATGCTCTTGAATTTCTCTCTGAGCTGAGAGTTATACCTGCAGATAGTGTATGTGTAACTACCCTAATTAACATGTCTGTCTAAATACTGATGCTTTAGAAGGAATTTTAAAATCTCTTCTTTATCACATATTCACTCTTTGTGTGTGTGTATATGTGTGTGTGTGTATGTGTGTATGTGCGCGTGCGCACATGCAAGCTTGAATTCAAGGCCTAGGTGCTGTCCGAGAGTTTTTTGTTTCTTGTTTTTTTGCACAAGGCTAGTGCTCTACCATTCCAGCCACAGCTGTACTTGTGGCTGTTTGGTAACTAATTGGAGATCAAAGTGTCATGGACTTCTTTGCCTGAGCTGTTTTTGAGCCATGGTCCTCAGAACTCATCCTGTTGAGTATCTAGGATTACAGGCATGAGCCACTGATACCCAACTTGTATATTTTTTTAAAAATTAAGTCTGGTTTTTATCAGTGATGTTTATCTAATGAGTAAGTGGGCCCAAGCAGTAAGAAATTGAGCAGAAACTAAAACATCACATCCATCATCAACAGTAGACTCTTCCAGTGTTAGTCCCTTTTTACTTTGAGGCATTATGAAGTTTATGCTATAAAGGAGAATGTTTAAAAAGTAAATTATAAGATGGTCTGAAGTATTAGCACCAGAAACCTTTAGAAGTCATTTAATTTTGGACACCTTCAAGATCCAAAGTGCTTGATCGAGTTGACCAATTTCTTCATGATATAAAGAATAAACTCCACAATTTTCTTCATGTATATATTATTCAGATATTAAACTCACAAGGTACAGAAAATTGAGTTCAAAATCAGAGATGTACTATTTTAGAGAATAATAAGAATCTTTCAAGTTGGAGAAAAGAAACAGGGTGAGTTGTTGAAGCTAATTCATTGACTTTCTAAAACTATTAAAAACTTGGTAGAGTATTATTTTTAACCCATTGAAGGATACTGTAGAGTTTATTCTTGATTGTGAAAGTAGAAATACAAAGGAAGAAAATGGCAATCCTGTAATAAAGTTTAATATAAAGAATACTGTCTAATGAGTCTTCCAAATTTCACATGTATACATTCATGGCTTTATGTATTACATTTATGGCTTAGGAGTTAGGCACTTTGTCACTGTCCTGTCATCCGTTAAAGAACATAACTAAGCTGGGTACCAGTGGCTCATCGCTTTACTCTTAACCTACTCAGGAACCTAAGATCTAAGCATCAAGATTCAAAGCCAACTCAGCCAGAAAAATCCATGAGACTTTATCCCTAAACAGTAAAATGCCAGACTGGTAGTGCCAGCTGTGAGCAAAAAAAAGCTGAGCAAGAACAGAAAACCCTTAGCTCAAGCCCCAGTATTCTTACACACACACACACACACACACACACACACAAACACACACTAGTAATAATAATAATAATAATAACCTACAACTAAAAGGTATTAAATGTGGCACCTATGTATATAAAAAGGCACTGTCAATACTGATGACTCACTCAAGGATCAGTCATATTGCATTTGACTACCTGGCTTGCTTTTATTTATTTATTTTTTGGGGGTCCGGTCGTGGGGCCTGAACTCTGGGCCTGGGCGCTGTCCCTCAGCTCTTCAGCTTAAGGTTAGCGCTCTCCCATTTAAGCCACAGCGCCACTTCCAGCTTTTTTCTTTTTGTTTATGTGGTGCTGAGGAATCGAACCCCGGGCCTCAGGCATGCAAGGCAAGCACTCTACCACTGAGCCACCTTCTCAGCCCCAACCTGGCTTGCTTTAAATTGATGCTACCAAGCAAATATGATGCAGCTTCCCTTCTAAAATGTGACTTCCTTGCCTGTCATAATTCCCTTTGAGATGCTTCAAGTAGTTTTGTTTCAGAATCACTAAGAATGCTAGCTGAATGATATTTCTTAGGTTACATGAAGATACTGTGGCTGGATATACTGAGATCTATTAACTCTGTTATTGAGCTCCTTGGGGCATTTGTTGTATTCTCTCAAATTGCCTGTAGTGTATTTTTAGGTATGGGTGAAAGTAACTGTTCTTGGAATAGAAAAGCCTTGCTGCATCGAGACACAATGCTGGCAGCTGCAGCAGTTTACAGAGGTAAGGAGACTGCCCCTCCTTCCATCCAGGCATCACTGAGAACCTCAGGCTCTGCCATGTTAACTCCCTTAACATTATCAGTGCTTTTTCTTTGCCTGTTTATGTGCCATCAGATATCATGTCCTTCCTATAGGTTTTTATCTTTTTTACATGCACACTTTATTTCCTTACTGTTCAGCATATCAGTATTAAGAATTTTTCATGTGAGGTATTCTCAGAATCTTAAAGTTATCCAAGTAACCCATTTCTCTTGGAAGAAGTAGATTGAATAGATTATTTTTTCCTCATGGATTTTTTCAGACTTGAATCATTATTTGCCTCTATAGAAATGTACGGAAATGAGGATGGCTCAGTACCTGCCACATACCAGATCTATCACATGATAGGATGGAAATACCATGACTCTCAGGTAACATTATTAAGGCATCACTTTTCTTTATGAGTTTACATTTTTGTTTATTTTTCATTGTTTACTTATGATTTTTATTATATTCAACAAGACTAAAGAGTTAAACAGGGCTGTAATAATCTATTTTCTAATAATTTTCATCTTTATTGTTATTTCCAGGCAAGACCAGCTGAAAGAGGTTCTGCAACTGTGTCGTTTGGAGAGCTAGGAAAACTAAATAATCTCATGTCACAGGGGAAAAAGTCACAATAAATATCTTATGCAATGTTTATGTATTCCAGAATTTTCATCAGAAATGAGTAGCTCTCACAAATGAAATATTAGAGCCTGAAGCTATCTATAAGTTATTTAGTAGCAAACTTTTTTCTTATTGTGAAAATAAGTAGCAAACTTTTAAGTGATTAGAATAACCTAGTACTACATTTACATTTAGTAACCATTTCACATTCATGTTATTTTTATTTTCATAAGCATGCTGCTATCTAATGATGTGGATGTTTTTATTTTTTGCAAATCCAGCCTAAAAGCAAAGAATATATTTTCCTGAAGGCTCACAAATATATGTTCCCATGTAGATAGAAAAACTGTGCTTATGCTGACATTTTTGTACTTTTTCCCTGTTCTGGTCTTTTGTTATTTCTGTGGGAGGAGCACAGCCGTGCACATTAGGAGAGAAACAAATTGATAGGTTCTTTAGAGTTCTGACTCATTTAGAATAACTGCAGTAAGGCACTTAAGCCAAAATTATTTATCTCAGTGTTGTTGTCTTTGTCTTGAAGAGGAGCAGAGGACTCTTTCTCCAAAGCTCCTCTGTAGTTTTAGACTTTGAAAGCATATGAATCTTCATTGAATTCCCTTCTTGTCCTCTTTTTCTGCCCCTCTTTTTTGAGATAGAATTTTGGTTTTTGTTTGTTTTTCCCAGTGCCAGGGTTTGAACTCAGGACCTCACATTCTTGTTGCTTGCTCATCTGGCACTCTACCACTTTAGTCATGCATTCAGCCTGGCTTTTTTAGAAATGGAATCTCATGGACTTTTCTGCTGTGGCTGGCTTCAAATGTGGATCCTCTGGATCTCAGCCTTCTGAAAAGGTAGGGTTATAGGTGTGAGCTGTCACATACCTGGCTAAGACAAGGTCTTGTCCATATACCAGACTGGCCTAAAACATTCCAGTTGCCACTTCTCATATGCTAGCATTACAGATATGTACCACCATGCCCAGATGGGACCACCATATTTTATATTCCATCCTATTGTAGAAGAGAAGAAAACATTTTAAAGAATTACAGAGATAAAATCACATGTGAAAGTCCACACAGCAATTAACCACGTTATTTGCATTAGCAGGTTTTCCTTTGTTACTTTCAGACTGTTACTATCACCCTAATTAATCCAAGTTCATTGTTCCATTTTCATCCAGGGCTCATTTATTTGGAAGCAGTCAAACTCAGCTTAGAATCAATGGGAAGAAGGTGGTGATAGAAAGTAAGGAAGCAGGTGGGAAGCAAGAAAGAGCTCAACTTCATATGTATTTTCTCTAGTCAGTGATAAGATAACCTTGACATAGCTCTGGTCTCCTCCTCAGCCTAAGGTAAAATATTACAACATCTCTTTCTCTTCTACTTCCCTACTCTTCTTTACCAAAAAACACCAGTCTTATCAGTAAGGGCTTTGTCTTAATCCTACAGAAAGTGTACTTGGTAATGACATGAAACTGGAATCATCTCAAAATAAACTCCATTGGTTTAAAAAAAAATCTGAAAAATGAATAGGCCTAATGAGGATGACCCTCGATTAATGTGACAGTGATGAAAATTATTTTAGTATGAGTGACACTGGTAAATTATTTTTTAATTAATGTCTACTTAAAGTCTATTCTTATCAAGCTTTAATTGTTTTGAATACTCAGAAAATTGTTTTTTTCTGAATAGCCATGTTTTCCAAATGATTAAGAGTTTATCCTGTCAAGCAAAAAACTTCAAAAAATATCTGATCAAAATTTTTTCCAAAAGTTGTTAATATATAAATGGCATGTGGAAAGTAACTTCTTATTAATAACCATGGTTAACTCATCAACTCCATTTGTATTGTATTGCTTGTTTCCTATTGACTGGCTCCAAGAATGCTGAGAATTCTATAGTCTTTCTTTTCCACACTTTTGTACTGGTAGCATTGAGTTCTCATTCAGCATTTTTGCTCACAGATGGCATGCTACCACTTGAGCCATGTCTCCTCTTCTGGTTTGTTTGATGTCTAATTGGAGATAACATGAGGGTTTGTATGCCCAGGTTGACTTAAAATACAGATCTTCAGATAGCTAGTATAAAGTATGTGATTTGATTATAAGAGATTGTTGGGCCCCGGTATGTTGTTTCATACCTTCAGTCCCAGCTTCTCCAGAGGTGGAAATAAGGAAGATCAAAAGTTTGAGGCCAGCCTGGGCAAAGTTAAAGTAAATCAAAAAAATAGTTACAGAAGTAACAAGTTTTTTGTTTTTTGCCAGTCCTGGGGCTTGAACTCAGGACCTGGGCACTGTCCCTGAACTTCTTTTGCTCAAGGCCATTACTCTATACTTAAGCCACAGCACCATTTCTAGCTTTCTCTGTTTATGTGGTACTGAGGAATTGAACCCAGGGCTTCATGCATGCTAGGCAAGCACTCTACCACTAAGCCACATTCCCAGCCCTGTTTTTTGTTTTGTATGTCAAATGGTTTTGTAACATTTTCACCCACATAACTACAGTATGGGCTCTTTTGAAAGATATCTAGGGAAAAGATAGTTGATATAGTATTATCATTTTAATTTTTCATTAATGATCAGCAGCCTGTCTTATGAAAAAATTTTCTGAACTTTTTTGAAGGAGCAAGGAGTGATTTTTGTTGCTAATTAAAAGTATAGTTTCAGATACTGGTAATATTGTAATCATCTACATGGATACTTGACAGATATCTTGCTGGTTTAAATAAAAACCCATTAATGTGAAAATAGGTAGAATAGATATCAACAGATAAGGTAGTAATACTTTGCTATCTGTGGTTGTTTTTATTTTTTTTGGGTCCGGTCGTGGGGCCTGAACTCTGGGCCTGGGCGCTGTCCCTCAGCTCTTCAGCTCAAGGCTAGCACTCTACCACTTGAGCCACAGCGCCACTTCCGGCTTTTTTCTTTTTGCTTATGTGGTGCTGAGGAATCGAACCCAGGGCCTCATGCATGCAAGGCAAGTGCTCTACCACTGAGCCACCTTCCCAGTCCCTTAAGATCAGTTTTTTAAGTGTGATGGAACTAATTCCAAAATGATGCTGGAGAATTTGGAAAGACCTTGAGAATTCACTGAGATATGTAGCTATATGTGAATTCCACAGTTGGTTCCCTTCTGCATTAGCTGTTAAGTTGCTGACAGCTTATTTATTTGGATGATCTGTTGAGACTGTGCACTTGTTTTCAGGCTCTTAAATGAGCACAGTGCTATTGAAATCACATGTCTTTTTAAAAGCCAACAGTTTTCTCAGCCATTGCTAGCAAAGGTTAACTGTCCTTTCAACATAGCCAGGCTACTAGCAGTACAGGAATTTCACACCTGTGTTTGGTTGCCACTTGCTAGTTTCTGCCATCCTGGAAGAATCATTAGGACTACTTAAGAATGGGAGATTACAAAGAGGAAAATTCCCCAAGAGAACTTGCTAGTCTTTTTTTTTGGGGGGGGGGTCCGGTCGTGGGGCCTGAACTCTGGGCCTGGGCGCTGTCCCTCAGCTCTTCAGCTCAAGGCTACCACTTGAGCCACAGCGCCACTTCTGGCTTTTTTCTTTTTGCTTATGTGGTGCTGAGGAATTGAACCCAGGGCCTCAGGCATGCAAGGCAAGTGCTCTACCGCTGAGCCACCTTCCCAGCCCCAGAACTTGCTAGTCTTTACAATAGAAGTGTTTACAACTAGCCTTTACTGGACTAGAAGCAGGAGAAAGCAGACTTGGGAGTTAGGTTCAGGATTCAGTCAGGCCTAGATTCAATCCTAGCCCTGTTTATTTCTTAAACTTGAATTTCATCTATCTGACCTCAGAATTTTCATCTATAAAACTACAGCTTTGGTACCAGTCTCAGAAGGGGCTGCTGGCCTTTCAAGTTCTTTCAAGTGACTTTTTCAAGCCTTTTCATCTTTCTCCCCTTGGTTGAGAATCGTGGCTTCAGGGACTTCCCTATCACTGTAGTTGGAAAATGGGCTGGAGGGCGGGGGGTGGGGAGGGGGGAAGGGGTGCTGAACAGTGTGATCTGATAGGAGCCTGAGCCCAGAGTCTGGGTCCCAAGAGAATGACCAGGATTACCTTCCCAACTTTACAGTGTCTCAAATGAACCAATTGACTTTGCATTTTTCCCTTTAAAGTTAACTGAGTGAAAAGAAAATACATTGTGATTTACTTTAGATTGTCTAGTCTGGAGAATGCATTTTTAACTATCTGAGCCACAAAGGAAGGAATCCTTCCTTCTGGAACCATACGTACTCAGCATACAGGAAGTGGCCCCAAACTTTACAAACAGTTCCCTCACTTATGCAAATGGTGAAGTGGTTAGTGCCAGGTCACACTCTAGAACACAAAGTGCTTAGGCTTCAAGTGACAGCACTTTAGAGAAGTAACTACACTGATCTCCAATCAAGGCAGGTTGCATGATTTCATGGTAAGTCAGATCAGTATTCACATATCTTAACAAATGTAGCTTCATTTAACTTTTACAAGGCTGCGCTAGGCTTAAAAAGTCCTGGGTTTAAAATTCTGTATTCAGCATTCTTAACATACAGTATGTTAAACCTTTGACCTTCATCACAGTTTTTATCTTCACAGTTTTCTTTGGATTAGATACTAGTACCATTGGCCTATATTTCAAATGATGGACCAAATTTACACAGGTTGTGACTCTCCAGGGTCATATAAATGACAGAACCAGTATTTCATTCTGTGACAAAGCTAAAACAAATCACAGATTAAGGAATAGGGGTATAGCTCAAGGGTAGAACACTTGCCTGCCAGGTGTGAGTTAGTGCCTGGGGTTGGAATACCACCACTGGAGAGAAAAAACAATTTGATTATCTTGCCTCCTTTAGGAAGAGAAAACTTGTGAGCTTCCAAGCTTTCTCATGTTTTCATTTGCTATAATTTGCATTTTGAATGAACCTCCAAAGGTAGTATACATTGATATTTGGTCACGGTCCATTGTGCTTTTGGGAAGTGGTAGTGTCTTCAGAAGCTGAGGCCTCTTGAAAGGAAGTTAGAGCATCGGGCATACA